TATCCTATTGTGATAAGGATTAGGAAGATTTACATTATTTGATATTATCAATATGTTAAGGTTAGATACTATATACATATATATATATATATATATAGGTCTTAAGATCTTGTATCAAAAAAAACTTAATAATAATATTCTATTCTATAAGATTTGACATGGTATCAGAGCCACGTTCTTGTGTTTAAAGTTAACGGTTCCGCAATAGAAGTTTAGTGTGATTAAGAAGATGATGATCCTTGGTGTTGAAGACGGTGAAGAGGATGGTGATGATGATGATGAAGATGACGTGAAATACCATCACATGATTCTTTTGTCCTATTTTTTTAATTTGTTTTCTAGTTTGGTTTTTGAGTTACGTGTTTTTAGTCCAAGTCATTATTTTTGGTTTTTCAAATTAAGTTTTTAGTTATAATTTGGGTTTATGTTTTCTTTCTTTCAAGTTTAAAAACTTACTAGATTCTAACCCCGTGCATCCGCACGAGAATATTTTTTATTGTTTAACGAATTTTATAATATAATTTGTGTTTTTGAGTTTAGATATAATTATTTTTAAAAATATATTTTTTAATAAGTGAAAATATTGATTTTTGTGTTTAGATATATTTTTATAGTATTAAAATTAATTATAATTATAAAAATATAATTTTAACGCATCCACTAATATTAATTCATAATGAACTATTATAAAAACATAATTCTAACTTTTCCGTTCATATTACCGTATAATATAATTATTTGTTAAAAGTTTGAGATGTATTAACAGTATTATTTAGCATTATAGTTTTCTAAAATTTAATCAACGAAGGGAGTGTACAACTGGTTTTTCAAACCACATTATAGTGTATGCAATAATTTTTAATTTTTTATGTTTTGATTTTATATGAAAAATATATTTTCGATATACATGTATAATTCAAAATTAGTGATTTTAGTTACCAAAATATTTTTAACCCGGTTTTTTATATATATTTTTAGTTCTATGAATTTTAAAAAATATATTTTTAATAATTAAATTATACATTTGAATTTTACTTATTATTTAATTATTAATTTGTAAATAAATCATAATCGTAAATATATTATATAAGCAACATAAATATCATATCATTTACTCATTATAAATATTTATATTTCAAATATAACCATTATTTTTCATATGTGAATTTTTTTTTTCAAAAATTCTAGATATTTTTGATAAAAATGTTTAAGAGTATAGAAATTATTTAATTTAGAATCTTTAAATCAAATCTAAATTAATATCTGATTTATTATTTTTAATCAAATCAAATCAAATCTAAATTACCTATATTTAAGGAACTCTAAAAATATTTAAATTAATAACTAATTTTCGAAATTAAATATAAATAATTATTAAAATTATTTTTAAACACTTTAAAAAAAATTAGGTGTGTTTGGAAACAGGCACTAAAAGTGCTTCTGTTTTAATAGAATAGATTATCCAAAGATTTCTTAAGAGATATTTTCCTTAACAATTAGTGTTTTTACGGGATATATTTTTTTTCCTTTGAGATTTATTCTTAAGTTTAGAATATCTCAGAATTTATATGTTTTGCCTTCTTCTATTACGGGGGAATTGGTTATGGTTTAGGGATTTATATTGGAACGCTCATTTTTTAGGTCATTTTTTTAGTCCGATTTACTGGACTGTCCTATACAAAGACGATTATTTGTGGAGTTGCAGAAATTCGCATCCACGGGATGTTATTCCATTTCTTTTCAAACCAAAGACGAGCTAAAGTTCCATCCCTAATTGAAGTTTATATCCGTAGGAGTCAATGACCTGTTTTTTCCATCCTCGACAAGTGTCCACAACAATGGTGTTCCGCATTGTGACTGCAGATTTTTGCGTTTTGGGTTCTACCTTTGTCGTGCGGGAGGGTATTAGAGATATCTTGGAGAGTAAGTGTGAACTAAGTATTGTGGGCCGTTAAGAGCCCGATTATGAAGTGAAGCCTGTGAACCCAACCGAAGAATATTCTCATAGATATCCTATTGTGATAAGGATTAGGAAGATTTACATTATTTGATATTATCAATATGTTAAGGTTCGATACTATATATATGTGTCTTAAGATCTTGTATCAAAGACAACTTAATAATAATATTCTATTCTATAAGATTTGACATCTGCTAATATGTTAGCTGATTCTCTTGCGAAGCAAGCTCTTCAAGCTTCTCTATCTGTAATCTGAATTTAATCTAATTAAATTGCTGTTCAAAACTCTGTTTTGGTTGGAGAAATAATAAATATTGTGATTTTTTACATGCAAGTAGATTCTGGATCGTCAATATTTGCATCATGTGGACGACAGGTCGAGTGTGGACCTTACATTACTGAAAACAATTTTTTTATAGCTGGAAAAAAGGTTTGGAATTAAAATATATATTATAAACAATGATATTTATTTTAAAAAGTTTTAAGAGTATGTACATAATTTAAGTAGTAACCTAGAACAAATGTGTCAATGGATTTTGTTTTATTCATATTCCAAAACATTATTTTTTTCAGTTGACAAGGTATAAGCATTCGCCATTGATGTTTTTTCACATTTTATTAATTGATTTAAACTCCTTAGTATATCAACTTCATTTTCACTTAAATATGTAAATGTATTTTTGATTTTCAGTGATTAAACTGATAATATCCTAATGTCAAATATGGAGCATGGAGATTACCATTCGGTAGATGAATGTTTTGATATTAGGATATTGTATCAATTTAATCACCAAAATTTGAAAATATTTTATATACTTCAAGTTGATATATTACAAAATGAGTTGATAAATTAATTGGTAAAATTAATGTGGGAAAAAAACTTCAGTGGTGAAACATCTTATCGTCTGTCAACTGAAAAATTATTTCAGACGAAGAATAAAATAAACTCATGGATATCTTTGTTTTAGGGTACGGTTAGGTGCAATATGTGCACTAAAAGAACCAGATTATGTTAAGTATCCACATTTATAAATGTTGTGGTGACTAGAGTTTGATGCACTTTGATATGGTTGGAAAAAAATGGAAGATTGTTGAGAGTATGACACATATATGAACTTTACATATTCTAGAACTGTTTTATGACTTTTATATATTGATAGAATCCGGATTATCAATTTTTTTGCATCAATACTTTTACATTTTTTACATGTTATAGATTGTCTGTAGTTTAGTGAATGTGGATCTTACATTATTGAAAACAGTATATTCTTGCATATCGTTTTGGTTGTGACTCTTTTTGGCTTTCAACTTTCATTGTTTCCTATGGATAAACTTCTATTACCAACCGATTAACCAGTCAAATCATAGAGGTCCTTCATTGACCCAACCAAAGTGTGAATCAATCTTGTTTTTTACTCTTGAAACTTTTTTTTACTCCATTTTAGTTGGAGAAAAATTTAAATATAAAACTTTTACATTTGATAGAATCCAGATCGCCAATATTTGCATCATGTAGTTGAGTGTAGACCTTACATTACTCAAAACGGTTCATTGTAGCTGAAAAATATGTTTGGAAAAATAATATATATTATAAACAATGATATGATTGGTGACTGAGTTATCTTTGCATAAGTTTAAGTTATGAGTCTAATGCATATAAACATCAAAAATGTTACCAATCATGAATTAGTTTGGATTTTTTTAGTTTGTATTTGAGTTAGAATGTGTTATGTTTAGTTACAATTTTGAGTTATGTCCTTTGTTAAATTGATAACTCAAAAGTTAACTCAACATCAATGGATTTCTCATGTATTAGAGGTTGAGTTAGAATTTTTTTTGCTGTATCCCACGTTCATATCTTTCTGCATTGTATTTTTTTTTTTTTTGCTAAAAAAACAATTACAGAAAAATGCTTAATAAAACATAACACAACATTAAACATTTTTTTCCATTTTAAATGACATAACAATACACTAGTACAACACAACATAAAAAAATACCAAACTCTTCATGTATTTTATCAAATAGTCAATGTTGACAAGATTTTTTTGTGTATATGGACTTCTTGTGTAAATATGTTTTAGAATGTAGTAGTTAGGTTTTTAATGTTTTTTTCAGAAAAATATTCCTATCAAATTTTTTTAATATAATACATTTGAAGTTTGTATTAATTTTTAATCTATTTTATCATTAATATTTTTAATAAATATAATCATTATTAATATATAATAAAATTTTGAATTTATTTAAATAACATGTACAACAATTTATACCACAGAAATGTTACCAGTCAGTTGTTTTAACAAAAAAAAATAACTCATATTTTTACAGCAAACTCACTGCATAAATCTACTGTTTATACAACATAATTTTTACTGCAAGTTACATCAAATTACAACATCGACCGTAATTCAACTGCAAAATCACATGTTACCAATCAGAGTCATTGTGTGCAAGATTTTAATGTGAAAGTTGTAAAAGTATGTTGAACTTTTCAACAAATTTTGAAAATACTCCCTCTGTTTCATACTCCTTTAATTTCAAAACTGATGAAGTTTAAGGTTGTTGCACACATATGAAAAAATCCTTTTTTTCAAACTAATATATCATTTATCATCTATTTAAATACAGTTCAATCAATAAAAAAATAATCTGCAAAATACAAATGGGCAAAAGTAAATAAAAAAGCTAGTTAAGTTTGCATTAAAAATTGAAAATATAATCGAATTTGCAACAAAATTTTTTTCCTAAAACATCATCTATAAAAAAAGCAGAGAGGGTAGGATGTTCAGAATTTTCATTTTATTTTAAAGTGTAAGATGTTTGAGTAAAAGCATAAAGATTATCACTCGAGGAAGGCAAACGACTGTTTTTAAATATGGATCATCTCAGCTTTCTTAAAAGTCGGAGACCATTTCCGAATTCGATAAGGAACTTGCAATTTACGAGGTGCTGAAACAGAAAAATATCGATGATGATGATGATGATGACGATGATGACGACGACAATGTTGCAGTGGAGTAATATCTTCAAGCTCATAAAATGTTTCAAGTTTCATACCCGAGACTGTCCATCTTGGTTTAATTAACTAATTAAAAATCGAACTCAAGTTTAACTCAAGACTATATTATTCTTTTATCTTAAACTAATTTAAAGTTAAGGAGATACATCTCATCGTCTTTCCAGGTTTCTCATTCTTGCTTGGCTAAACCGATTGTTTAGCTATTGCCTCTTGAACCAGCTTGATACCAGCAGAACATGAATCAAGAATGGAAGAGACAATCTTTCTCTGCCGCTCTTTGAACTCCATCGCCATTTTCACATCCCAATCCGCGTTTGCTCTGTAAGAATAAACGGAAAAATAAATAAGGAAAAGCCGCTTGCTCTGTTTCGTTTTTTCATACATCATAAAGACACAACAACTTTTTACCTGTCGATAGTATCCACATCTTTAAGATTTTCCATCATGTCGTCGAATGTTGATCTTAGACTCTCGAGTACTCCCATTTCTACTTCCAAGTTCTTCCATAGCTTATAACATTCAAGAAAAGAGATGAATAATCTAGGTAATAGATTCAGAGATAGAGAAGCAAGAAGGTGATCAGGATTAAGTTACATCTATTTCGGAATGATGAACAAGACCATGCGCTCTCCGCAAGTAGTTCAACAATGGAGTAGGCAAGCCGTAATGGAAGATGTTGTGGTTCCTCGAGAGCCAAGTCCCGCGTAACATGTGACTTGTCCTAGAAAACTCGTTCTCGATGTCTTCATCAACATCTGCAAGGGAGAGAGATTCAGACACAACAACTTTAGGTAAAACAATGGAAGTGATCTCAAGAATGATTAGAAGAAGGGAAGGTAAAGAACTACCTAAGGGAATGATATCATAAGGGTTATCTCTTTTTGGTAAAAACCCGTAAAACGTTAACAGATGCGAGCTAGAGTAGTTTCCATAGCTAAGATAACATTGCTCCCCTTTCTTGCAAGGTCTTGAGAGTGGGAACTTCAATGAACTTGTTTCGGAATCTACTTTTCCATATTTGACAATGTGTGGATATATCTGCAAACCCCACTAAATAATTAATCCGGAAAGTGGTAAGGAGTTTCTTATAACATAACGATAAAGAAAATAAACATACATACCGAATGGTTGAGAAAACCAGCGACAGGAATCAAACAAGTCTTCAACTTTCCATCAGGGAATTTGATTTGCATGCTGTTGGAGTAATACAACTCACAAGCCCACAAGTAATGTTCCCAAGTATAGAGCTCAGGTGGAAATATGTCCCGGTGGTTCGATAGATGATGAATCAGTTCATCATACCTCTCACGCAAAAGCTGCAGATATACAAACAAGAATGTGTAATACAAAAAATATCCAACTGAATCAAGAATGTAATACAAGATCAGAGCATCAAAAGATAACTATTGACACAATCTCATCACACCTCTTTAGCTTGCATTATTTCATCTAAAAGCAATGTACCATGAAGAACCATGATTCCATCAACCCCAAAACTCAAACCTATGAAGAGAATCTGTGTTTGTTATTTCATCAAAACAAAAAAATAAAACTTGCTACAACGATTGGGGGGTATTTAGTTCTTCACAGATTGTTACCGGTACGAAAATGCTCCTGCAGAGAGTCAAAGTATGGTTTGAATTTCGAGTCCTGGTTATGCCTCTCCCTCATAGTCCATAAGAGCAGCATTGTCTCAGATGTCATCCCATCTATCTTCTCCAGTATTGGGTACTGAAAAGAGAATCAATCACTCATCATACAACATTGAGATGACGTGAGCCGATATAAATCTTTGTTACAGGATTAAGAAAAACGATATTACCATGTCAGAGTTGTACACATACTCCTCAGAGATGATACTTGAGATTGGTATCTCTAAAGCAACATCACCAAATCTCAAGTCTTGGCTAGCTACAGCTCCTCTTCCATAACCATCGATCTCTATCCAAATAAAAAACACATTCTCAAAATCTCTTGTTCATCATTGTTGAAATTTTTCACTTCATTAGAAGAGCTAAAAGGCTTACGAGCTATCTGCAATTTGGATTTGACACCATTGTTCTGACCCCATTCTAACAATCTGCTTTCCTTTTCGCAACCATACCTATCATCAACTCTAGCTTCCTCTTTCTCCGATCCAACAACCTCACTGATTCTACTCGTTACAGCTTCTCGTAGAGCCTCGAGTTGTGCTGGTATGAGTGAAAGGATCCAGCTGAGAGCTGAGATTTCATTTCTAACACTGTAAATTCCTTCTGAATTGCAGGCATCGTCGCCGAAATAAACTTCTACCTGCACTTTTCACTCAAATTCATCACCTAAAGCAAGCAACTTTTACAATCAAACCACTAGAGAAAGACAAGGCAAGAACGTGATATAAGCTCTTACCTTATCGAGGTTAGGTATTCTTGCAAACTGAAGCAACTTTTCGAAAGAAGTATTCAACAACTCTTGACTCAATGTTTCCTTTACGCCTAAACCTTTGCAATTCAAGAGCTTCTGCAGACGGAAAGTCATAACAAGTGTCAAAATTTCAATGTATCTGTTCCAAGAGACAGGCTACGATTCGAAGGATAAGCACAGAAACTGATAAAAATCACAGAAAATGAGAAATAAATCAGCAAAATCACACCTTTTTTTCTTGATAAAAAGGATCATTTTGGAACAGCTCTAGACATAAATCACCAGTCTCTGACATGATATATAAAGCACCCACCTTTGCAATTGACCAGAAACAAGAAAGAGAGACAGAGCTTTTCACTAAACCAAGTTATGTTACAGAAGAAATAAGGATATAAAGGGTTTAAGAGAAACGAATACCATTGACGAAGAGCCGAGAAATCGAGGAAGAAGAAGAAGAAAGAGGGTTTAGAAAACTCAGCTAACGAGAAACCCTCTGTTTGGTTCAGAAGGTCCGGCAATACAGGCTCTCACACTCACAGTCCGAATTTAAATATTCTGGTTCTAAATTTATCTCGCGTATGCCATAACCGGTTGAAATTGTTCTTTTTGATTGAACCGGAGTTATCAAATTGCAGATAGCTCGTAAGTTTAGCTGAAAGATTCGAATTCCGTACATCTCACGAAATTTTTTATTTTTTATTTCCACCTTGTTTGGACGAAAATGTTTTATTGAAAATACTTATTCAAAATCGCTAATTTACTCGAAAGACTTACTAAAATCGTGTTGCACGGGCGGGAACATCTTTTTTTCTTTTGATTTCTTTTCGTTTTATTCTTTTAATTTTTTTTATAGTCTGTATTTTCCAATTTCTTATTCTTCTACGAAAAATATTAAATAAACAGACTTTTTCTTTGTGTTTTTTTTTCTTCTTTTAGTTTTATTCTTTCTTCATATTTTCTTCTACTATTTATTTTTGGAAGTTTGGAAGTTTTCACATGTATATTTTCTCATCTTTTAGTTTTATTCTAGCTTTGTAAAAACGATCGGTTTCAAAAAATCTTGCAAAGTGAAGCACAAAGATAACATAGACACATATTAATATCCGACTATTCTAACATGAACTCTCCCCTTAAAACGAAGATGATATGTAGTTTGGAAGCTGAAACAAAATCACTCTTAAAAGTTGGTAATCTTTATTGCCTAAAAAGTAACCCCAACATTATATATAAATCAAACAACTAAAATATGTTTTAAATTTTAATCGTAAAAACTAGAACTATATTCACTTCTTATATTTCATAGAAAGAATAATCTTCACATAATAAATTATTTATTATTTGAGACATATATTCTTCCAATTTTATTCTAAAATATTAGATTCTTAAACAATTATACTTAATGAGATTACTCTCTAATAGGAGTTACTCACTTTCCCTTTAATCTTTATGTAAGGTGCCTACTGGTATCATCTTGACTATTTTCTGGTTTTTGAAACTTTACCGATGTACTCTGTTATTGAGATTTACATAATGAGATTATTTTTTTCTATAAGGTGTTGAAAGAAGTATAAATCTTTTAATTAGCGGAGTGATGCTAGGTTTTTTTAGGAGAAAAAAATCTATTCTTTATTTATCTTAACCAATAGCTTCTCAATACTAACCTTACAATTTTTCACATGTCCCTCCGAATTGAAAACCAATTACTTGGTATGATCCTTAATTTGGAAAATACCACTTGCAATAAACCATACCGTTTTTTGCACCAATAAATCTGAGGCTGAAAGATCTCTACTTACCACTTGGATCTTTCATAGACCCTTGTCACCAAACTTTGTCATTTGAAAGAAGATCTAGAGTCTGTTGTTGATTTGTACTCTCATTGTGTTCCACATAAGCAAGACCATTCTCCAAAGCTTTTACGTGTTTTTCGAAGTAGGTTTGGCTACTTTAGTCAAACGAAATCATTGAAATTTTTGGATGGTTCATTAGTTCCAAAGACAAACTGTTCCAACTACATATCTGCACAATGATGAAGCCTCTCCATTCTACAAACCAGCTCGAGCTTCCCCTTGCAAATACTCAAAAAAACTTGTGTCTTTGCATGTTCATGCTGAGCAAGGTAATATCCATATGCAAATGTCCATTTCAAGACCCTCCTACATTCCATTATCTAATTGTAAAATCAACCACATAAATACCTTTATCCGTTTAGGAAAAATGTTGTAATAAAAGTCTCACTGAAAGTCTCATTACTAATATTCCTAAATCAGCATGATTGCAAGATTTTACCAATAACAGTCTTTAGTGAAATCACATTTTCTGTTCAACGATCCACAAGATTTAACATGAAAAATATAATTCTGAAACCATGATTGGTCTAGTTTTTTTAAATTTAATCAATAGTTTCCCATTTATATTCCATTATGCATGCTCCTGGTTCACCTTGAATAACCATGTATTTCGCACAGGCACAGCCAAAAAAGTCTGGTTGGGGCAAGAGTCTCGGGCTCATCGAAATCTTTATTCCAACGATTTCTTCAGCCTTTACTATAATTAGAGTGAAGAAGCAGAGCGATCAATTCGACCTGGCTTATAGAGAGAACAGTAGAAACTTGTTCAATATGGTCTCTTTTATACTTGTGATTTTTTTTTTGTTTTGCTACGATTTTATGCTTGTGAATGTATTCTTCACTATAACTGGACATCACAATACACAACGCTAAATCAGTATGATTAGCATCTCAAAATTTAACTGAGATGAATACACCTAAAACATGAAATCCAAACAGAATCTCAAGTCCAAATCAAAATTATTTTTGGATGAACCAGACATTCCAAAAACAGAAAAAGAAGTTGAGATGGAGGAGCATAAACAGTATGGGATCCGATCGGTCATAGACTTATAGAGCAATATCAATGGAAATCAATCGCAAAGCTTAAATACTCAATCCTCCTCATTCATCATGAACACAGATCCAAAGCTTTGAAAAAAAAAACCCTAACTCGAAAATTTTACTAAAGCAATACAACTCAAAGTCAAAACACATAAACCACCGGTTGAAGAAGAAGCTCTGACTAATTGGAGATTATGGCTAAAGGGAGAGAGCCTCAGGGTTTTCATACACAAAACTATACCAAAACTTCAAAAAAGTAAAAAACACAAGAAGAAACATAAAAACAAAAACGAATGCAAACATAGAAACAAACAAAACCACTTTTAAGAAAATTATATGAGACCTAAACTATATCACAAACCATAAAGAACCAGCCAAAACTATATGGATGATTTAGGAATACATAATTGATATACAGTATATAGTAGTCCAACGATAACCAAATATTAACTTAACCCGGGTAACCAAATTTGGTATATTTAATTATAAATAAAACTTAATTTAAACCGATTAAAGGGTATTAATGACCTTTTAGTAAGCAATCAAACTGCAAAACACCAGAACCTATACAGCCAAAAAAAACATAGAAAGGAAGTAAGACCACAAACTAACAACCAAAAAACTATCACAATCTAAAAAAACAGATCAAAAACATCAAAGAAGTAAACCATTAGATCAATACAGACGCTAAAAAGCAATAAAAACAATCGCATAAAAAGGAGGAAGAATAATTAAACCTAATGCCAAAACTCAGAAATATAAGTGGAAGGATGTTATCAATGTATGTGATATATATATATATATATATATATATATATATATAGGCTACGGTTGGTATTTTTTATAGTTAGGGTTTAGGTTTTTGTTTAAAACACTTAGTTTTTTTTTTTTTTGTCGTCAAAGTATTTCATTGAAATAAAACATTACATCAACCATTTGATTACATGATTTTGCATACCAACTCTAGCTTGCTTAGCTAATGTATCAGCTTCAACATTGATTGATCTACTAATCTGCTTGAATTTGAAACCACACATAGTGGATATCTTCCTAATATCAAAAAGATATGAAGCCCACGGAAGATGCTTCCAAGCCTGATGTTCTTGTAAATACTGGTTACTTTGCAAAGAACCGTAAACTGCCTTTAAATCACCACAAAATATTGCATTCTTGTAACCAAGTCTTCGAACATCAATGACTGCAATCCGTAGAGCCTCGGCCTCAGCTTCCATAGATGTCTGAGTAGGTGGAATAACCCCTGATCCTGCAATGATCTGCCTGCCATCCTCATTGTACAAGATCCATCCAATTCCAGCTACTTGATGCTGAGAAATCCAAGAAGCATCTACACAACAACAGCAGTTACGACTGGTACGAACTATCTGACAAATGTTAGAAGAAACATCATGATCAATAGATACAGCAGGATGAGTCAAGATCTCTGCATCTAATCGAACTTCCTGCTTATTTGCCTCCAATGCTTCATTCCACAATTCTACATCCATGAGCACTTTGTTAATTACATCTGGGATAGCCCATCTTCTGCCATTGAAGACGACATCATTACGCTGCTTCCAAATTCTCCAACCCAACAAATGAAATAATATAATTAAGCAAGGGTCATGCTTGTTAGCCTCCATAAACGCAGGGTATATGTCGCATAAGCTATGAGATGAGATAAAGTCAGATGATGGCTTTTGCAAAAGAGATAGCTCCCAAATCTCCTTACTTATACGACACTTAAACAGAAGATGATCAGTGGTCTCTTCTGCTTCTCCACACACCTGACAAGTGCTATCCCTTAAAATTTTCTTGTATTTAAGCTGCTGTGCCACCGGTAATGCCTGGTGAAAACCTCTCCACCAGAAATGTTTGACCTTTGGAGGAATATTCTGTCACCACATAGTTTTATATAGATGTACAGGAGTAGAGGAGGTCTGACCTTTTTGACAACGAAGAAGATTGTATCCAGACTTAACAGAATATCCTCCATGCTTAGTATGCTTCCATATGATCTGATCAGATGCTCCTGTGATAGAAGTTCGAATCATTTTGATAAGAGGGATATCCAAAGGATCGCAAAGTGTCTGTAACTGAGATTCATCCCAGCTTATAGATCCTGCAATAAAGAGGTCTGACACTTTCAAATTTGGATATATTGTAGCACCAATACCAGAAGCTGGCACAGACGGATTGATAGGCAGCCAAGAATCCTTCCACACATTTATTTGTCTCCCATTTCCAACAATCCATTGAACTCCGTTTTTAAGCACCTGATTACCTTTCAATATACTGCGCCATGCATAACTTGAAGCCCATTTCTGTTTCGCCTCCAACAAAGTAGTTTTTGGAAAGTATTTGGACTTATAAACTCTGGCCAAAAGAGAATGAGGATTTTGCAGCATTCTCCAACCCTGTTTAGCCAATAATGCAACATTAAAATCTTTTATGTCTCTCAGACCTAAACCTCCTTGATCTTTAGGATCTGTTAGCTTATCCCAAGAAATCCAATTTGTACCTCCACGAGCTTGTTGTGAGGACCACCAAAATCTCCTCGTAACTGCCACAATCTGTCTAATAATTGCCATAGGCAACATAAAACAAGTCATACAATATGCAGGAATAGTGGTTACCACAGATCTGATTAAGACTTCCTTACCAGCAGGCGACAATAATTTTGAATACCAATTCTCCATTTTCTTAGATACTCTTTGAGCCAAATAGGAGAATGTATCAGTTTTATTCCGACCAATATATTCAGGAAGTCCTAAATATTTACCAAATCCCCCAACCTTCTGAATATTAGTAGTTTGAAGAAGATAATCCTTAAGTACAGGGAGATACCTTTAGTAAACATAATTGCTGACTTTTGAAAATTAACCGCTTGTCCAGATGCTTCCTCATATTGGTGTAATAAATGTAAAACTTCCTGACATTCTTGCACTGTGGCTTTACAAAACAGCAGGGAATCATCTGCAAAGAGCATGTGAGTAACTGAAGGGCCTCCCCGACTTGCACAGAAACCCGTAATGAGACCTTTGCTCTCTGCTTGAGAAATTAAGTATGATAATCCCTCTGTGCATAACAAATAAATATAAGGAGAGATTGGGTCCCCTTGTCTAATACCTCGAGTTGGGACAATAATGTCAGATGGATTGCCATTAAGAAGAACTGAATATGTAACAGTTGAAATGCACTTCATAATCCATCCACACCATTTCTTTGCAAAACCCAACTTCTTCATTATATTCTCAATATATGACCACTCAACTTTATCAAAGGCTTTGCTGATATCCAACTTTAAGGCCATAGTTGGATCAACTCGTCTCCGAGTATGCATCGAGTGCAGCAATTCATGGGATATAAGCACATTATCAGTAATAAGACGCCCTGGAATAAAAGCTGTTTGGTTTTCTGAAATGATTGAATGCAGTATAGGTTTAAGCCTTTCAGCGAGGACTTTGGAAAGGATTTTATACGCAACATTGCTCAAGCTAATAGGCCTATAATCCTTGACTTCAACAGGTGATTCAATTTTAGGGATCAAACAGATATATGTACGATTCAAAGCAGGATCCAAACTAGAAGTTTCAAAGAAAGCTCGAATGAATCTTACAACACCTTCCTTAATGACTGACCAATGGTCCTGGTAGAATCCCGCTGTAAGTCCGTCAGGCCCTGGAGCCTTATCTCTATTCATCTGTTTGAGAGCTTGATAAATCTCCTCTTCTGTAACCTGTCGAGTGAGATGCGCATTCATTTCTTCTGTAACTTTTGGACGCAGATTCTGAAGAATATCAGGTGCGATATTATTCCTCTGAGAAGAAAACAGCGCAGAAAAGTAATTAGTTGTGATCCTTTCAATATCATCTTGCTTAAAACAAATATTGCCTGAATCATCAGCAAGAGAGGTAATTCTATTCAAGGATCTTCGCTGCTTTGTTCGAGCATGGAAATATTTTGTGTTACGATCACCGGCTTGCAACCAAAGAGTTCTACTCTTGGTTCTCCAATACTCTTCCTCCATCCTGTATGCATGAGCAAGCTGAGATTTAATAATACTAATGTGAGCATAATCTATAGGAGTCCTCTCATATGCCTGCTGAAGAGACATCTGAAGCTTATTGATTAGCTTTTGTGAATTAGTAGGGTTCTGAGATTTCCAATTAGATAATCTACGCCTGCAAATCTCTAGAGCCTTACTAAAGTTGTTGCTAGGTATCTCTTTACATTTATCCTCCCAGACCTTCTGAATATCATCCTTGAGTGCTGTATTAAATCTCCATCTATTATCATAGCGGAATAACTTATAACCCTTCCACTTAGATGTCTCTGTATGTAATAGAATAGCACAGTGATCCGAACAAAACCAAGGTAGAATTTGCGCATATGCAGTAGGATAGATGTCTAACCAGTCACTTGTAGCAAAAACTCTGTCAATACGAGTTCTAACAGTATGCTTATACCTCTGACCAACCCAAGTGAATTTGCCACCGAACGTTTTGACATCATGAAAACCACAAACATCAAGCATTCTGCGAAATGTACGAAAAGAAGACTCAGATCGGTAAGCACCACCTTCTTTTTCATGAGAATACTTGATGTCATTAAAGTCTCCAATTGCCAAACGAGGCTTACTTCTGTACCATCCTGCTTCCGCTTCAGCAATCATCCTGTTCCACTGAGCAGATCGATTCTTTAAAACAGGATCTCCATAGATATATGACAAGCAAAATATATTAGCACCATCAGATATGTACAGATCAGAACCATTAAGAGTAGGGTGATCACCAAGGGTTAGCTCAATATGGACATCCCAAAAGATGGCTAACCCTCCACTAAGCCCATTCGCAGGTAACACAAAAGAGTGGGCATAGTTAAGTTTCTTACAAAGCTTATCTACTACATTACAGCCGTTTTTTGTTTCTATTAGAAGCATGATATCAGGTTTAGAAGACTTCCTGATATCTTGTAAATATTGCATTGTCAAGTCGCTCCTTAAACCTTGACAATTGAGATGAAAGATCTTCATGGCTGCTGTGGTGGTTTCAGGCTAACCACCAAACCTTTAGCAGTATCTACAGTTCCAGCAGCCTTCTTAGATGATGATTCCTCCATGAAAACCACATCATCGGACCTCCTCTTTACACCCTGACTGGTGACTTCTACATCTGTAGTAGATTCATTTCGCTTCTGTCCCATATGATGATCATCTTGAGCAGCGGTTCTTGACTCATCCATTCTAGTATCTCCAGCATGAGGAAGCAGAAGAGGTTGATTCTGTTGAGTACCAGAGTTTTCTCCCACCTCTTTAATTGCCTTCAAAACTGTAATAGCTTCCATCCTCTCTTTAACAGCAAGATAAGGATTATTACCAATACTCATCAAAGCTTCCGTATTAGGGGTAAGAGAAATCGGCTTGTTGCACATATCAAAGCTATGCTTCAAACTACCACAAGTGGTGCAGAACTTCTGAAGTCCGATATATCGAAACTGCAGATCAACAGGATCTCCTCTATCCAGAATTTGAACTCTTCTAGCCAGAGTAATTTCACTGTCAACATCAAAATCCACTTTAACTCGAACATCGGCTGCTCGATTGATTGTAGGTTGGATGATTAAAACTTTGTCAACTTGTCCCAGCCTCGAACCAATACTCTTTACTATACCCTCTCTTCGGTAGACCGCAGGTAGATTTTTGATTCGAATCCAAAAAGGTATGTGCTTGAGAAAAGTAGGATATGATCTGTATCCCCATTTATCCAATGCAACCATCCATCCCTTGTGATGATAGGGGCCTTTTTCAAGAACATTCAGCATCTGGTGCTCTTTCTCAAAATAAAAATTTACGGTACCGTCATCCTTGATTTGGCTTTCAACCATATCCTCTAAGAGCCAAGCTTTTGGAAGCATAGCTTTAATACCTGCAGGCTTCTGATGATCTGGATTGAGACCACGAGCTACCAGACATAATCGATGATCCTTAGTGAACTGTTGTTGAGCATCTTGATGAACTCTCCAAGTTTCACCATCAGAACCAATACTAAGACCTTGGAGAGCTTCCCAGATTTCCTTCTCCTTGGTAGATGACATCGATTGAGGCTTCAGATAATCAGGAGAAAGAAGGAAGATCCGATCCACGCCGGAAAATAAGCCGATCAAAGTCGGAAATGGAACTCTGTAGAAGAGTTTAGAAAGTCGCCTTTGTTATCGCCTTATCGCCTCGTGGGCAGAGCCCTCTATCGAGATTAAACACTTAGTTGGCATCTATGCGGCTAAAGAACTAAAAAACTTCGTTGGTTTTTATTTATTTAATCGATTTTCTATATATTTTTTAAATTAATTTAAATTATTTTAAGGAGAAGCAAAATGTAATTAGCCACGCTGGGATTAAATGAGAGAACTCAAAATCAAAATTTTACTTTGCTTATAATATATATATGATATATATATATATTTTTTTTAGATATAATATTTCTTTTTAAATCTTTTTTGTTTTTTTGTTAATTTTTTTGAATTAAAAATTTCGTTATCATATTTTCATTTTAAATAGTATAGATTTGTATATTAGTAGAATAAGATTATAAATTAATTAAAAATATATCAATCTAATGTTAATTATGAACTTTGTTATCATGTGAATTTTGATTTACACATAAACAATCTATATATTTATGAATTGACTAATTCGTTTGTTTAGTTGCTTCAAATTATTTTTTAATATGTTACATGTTTTATCAAACTAACATGTATAAGACTATAATTATAAATACATAAATCTAACATGTTTCATCATATTATTGTATAGTATAAATATTTACTAATTTAATATAGACCGATTGATTATGATGTATATATCTATAAATTGGCTAACCCATTCGTTTAATTGCCTTAATTAGCTTAATATCTTACATGTTTTAACAAATTAATCCAATAAGATCTTAAGTATAAATACATAACCATAATCAGCACCATCATATTATTGTATAATATAAATTTTTATTAATTTAAATAATTGATATTTTAAACCGATTGATTATGATAAATTATAATAAAATATTTGTTTATCTTTTACGCTATTATGAAAATATTATTTAAATACAAAATCTATAATTAAATCTAACATTTATTTAAGAATTCTAAAATAATTAAAATTATTATCTCAATTTTCGTAATAAAAGTTAATTATATTTTTATTTTTGAATTTTAAATTAAATTAAATCTAAATTTTCGTAATTAATTTAATTATAAAATATTTTGAATAATTTAATTTTTTAAAAAATTTGACCTATATTTAAAGAAATTTAAAAATATCTACATTAGTAACTAATTTTTGGAATTAAATAGAAATATAAAATAAAACATTTTTTGTTTAAGTTATACTTAATCTATATACTTATTTGTGTAGTGATTTTCTTAGGTGTCGCGCTTAGAGCGAGTTTCAGAGTTTTTCGCTTACGTGTCAGTTCTAGAATGAGTTTCGGTTGTAAAAAGATTGTTTAATCATATTTTCCAATTACGTGTCATTTTTTGATTCGTTCTTATCGGATGACGTGTAAAAAAACTTAAAACAAACTGGTCTAAATTATTAGGGTTAAATGCTTAATTTTGCTGTCAAATCAAACCGTTTTTAAAATTATTTTAAACCTAAATTTATTAAAAACAAAAACAAAAACGTTTTTCAAAAATAACACAAAAAATCTAAAAATTTACCATTTCTTATGTTCGAAATTTTTTTTTTAAAAAAACAAAAACAAAAAACGTTTTTTAAATAACACAAAAATCTAGAAATTTATCATTTCTTATGTTCTCAAAATTTAGAAAAAAATCTAACTAAAATGTTAAAAGAAACAAAAAAACGAAATTTATGCTATAATATCACTAACTATTATAGTTTTTACGATTTTTTATGTTTATAAGGTTTTCAATTTCTTATGATCTAGTATAAATATAAGATACTTTTCACTACTTCTCTCATAATTTTCAAAATTGTTTAACCTATACCTTCTTCTTCATTTTATCTATATACTATTTATAACGTTTATATAAACAAATCAAAAATATTGCTCATAATACAAATCTACAAAAAGTTAAATTACTAATATACGTTATAAAGATAATTGCTTAAAGAAATTTATGTTTATCTTTTAGAAAATAAAAAAGAAAAATCTACAATAATCGTGATAACTTAAAACCTAAATGAATTCAAACAACTATTAAATTTTCAAACAATCAAATAGAAATTATATCAGTCCGCGCAAAGCGCGGGAAAGTTAACTAGTTAGATAATATTATATCTGTTTTTAAACATATTTTTTTAAAAAACATTTTAGAAGTATTTGGAAATAATCACTAAAAGTGCTTGATAACACCTGATTTTGACCATTTTTATGGATCACTTTTAATATCTTATGCAGGTGTTTTCACTCAGATTTAAAAGTTTTTAAGTGATGTCCATGTTTTAGAATCTCAAAAGAGTTTTCAGGATATTTGACAAAAAGAATGCACTTGGGAGCAAAAAGCATAACTTTAGATAAATTCCTACCGTCAGAAGTTTGGTAACAAACGGAGGTCTTCCCACCTACTGATCATCCCCAACTTTTGACACAAAATAGAGGAGACAACCCGCTTTCCAATACAAGTGGAATCAAAATAATCCAACGGTTAGATCTCCAGATATAGTCGATACACTGAAGGCAAATCATCACAGTCAGAAGCTCACCCGCGGCCAAAACATCATCTGCCGGGGGTGCGAAATTTTAGACCACGGGGAGCTCAATTCCGAGCCTCAGAAGCCCATATTAAAGCCCATATTAAAGTCCAAGTCACTCCCGTCATTATTCCTGCAAGCCCTAGGCATTCCCGAGAACTCAAGACACTACATAAACCCCTTTTATGTCGTTTAGAAGTGTGTGCCATATTTCTCACTAGGAACCCTAGAAGAAAGTCACGCCCAGAAGAGGAGCCACCGAGAGGGGCACCATCGGATCTCCTACTTCAACCTGTTCTTTGTTTTTAACCTTCGTCTATTTCAATTCTCTGCAATTCTAAATACTTTTGTGATGTTGAACTCAGCTATGTCTGAGTAATCTCCCAGTTGGATTTTTAAGGGATTTTTCAAAGGGAATTTCATGTCTTGATCTTATGCTTTATTCGATTTAGGATTCAAAATCTTCTAGGAGTCCTTCGTTTATTCTTGTTCCCTATGCTGTTTCTGTTGCTAACCGCTTAGAAATTGATCTCAGTAATTGGAGCCACGAGAGTGTTGTATCGAATTACCAGACCTAGAAGTGAACGAGTGAATTCGCTATAGGAGACGAAAGCTACCTATAGAGAATCGCGAGCGTGGATGAATTCTGTTTTTAATGCATGATCTTATTCGCAGCATGAGAGCAAGAGTTGATTGCTGTGTTGAGTGATTAGATGATTAGGGTGACGAGAGTTGGCTAATCTTATATGTGTCTATTCGAGTTCGGGATCCTCACTAGTTGATTACCTTTATCGATTTGTTTTTCTTTTGATCAGTTCATGAATCCCTGCGAAAACCCTTTAGACCCAGAGATTTGTTCCTATTATTTTACGACTTGTTTATTTCAATTGCTTTTAGATTTAGTGACCCCAAAACCAAAAACTTCCATTTTGCTTGTTCTACTAGTCTTAAGTCTTGATTGATTCGTACTGAAAGCTCAAAATCTCTGTGGTTCGACCCCTAAGTACTACAACACACATATGTGCACTTGCAGATATTTAGGGTTACAAATTTAAAACATGAAGCTAGAAGTAACTCTTGATTCTCTTAGCATCAGTGCTTATGTTTTAATATAATATATGATATGATATTCAATTTATCCATATTATGTGAATTAACCAAGTATGTGTAAATTGACATTCTTTTCTTTAGATAATTAGATAATTTTTTAGAAAATTGATAGTATTTATAATTATAAGCAGTTGTCCAAAAGCAATTTTTAAAAATGTGACCCTGCATTCAATAAGCTTTTTTCTTGAAAAAATTGTAAATAGAAAGTGATCGGCAATCATAACTGTTGTACCAAAAAAACTGTTAGACTAAAAATCTGGCTAGAGTTGCACAAACTATTCTTCTTCTTCTTTTTTTTTTTTTGTTTTTGTTTTCTAAAGACAAAAGAACTACAATTATGAACATTCTCACTTTTATGAACACTCAATTTTTATTGACCAATATGAGTAGAGAAAGTAGAAGAATAAACTCAGAAAAGTAGAAAGCAGAAAAAAAAAGATCAAACCTGATTTAATTTTTATATTAGAATTAGATTTTGCATCCATGCTATTTACGTAGTGTTTTGATAAAATACATATGCGATTAGTTATATTTAACGAATATTAACTATATTATGTATATTAGTGATGTTATAACAAATTATTATAATTTTAATCTCATAAATTATATTTAGATTATGAGGTTTCAATGATTTTGTATTAAAAAAAAAAATATATATATATATATATATATATTTGTTTGAAAAACGTAATATTTGGTGGAACACTTACAAAATAAATATTACAAAAACAAAAAAAAAATTAATGTATGAATAAACCAAGTTTAGTACTTCAACTCTATAATCTATGTATGACCACGAAGTGGCTTATTGGAGAGAGGAAAGAGATTGAAAAACGAGAAAAGGAAAGTGGGCCGAGTGTTCCTTAGAAAGATAGAATCGACTCAGAAGTGGTGATGGGCTTTTTGAGGTGAAAAGAGATGATATGAAAGAGTTTGTGGTGGAAATGCTCTACGGTTTAGGAACCGTCATGGAGAGGAATTGAAGAGTTGGTCGGAGTAATGACTGGAAAGTATAAGATGTTAAAGCTCAAGGATCTCAAGTATCTAGAGAAATAATTATGAGCCTTAAGATAGCGAAAGAGTGAACCATTTCCTCGTTGGAAGGGACAAAGTATTTATAGGATTTTTCTGGACCGGGTTAGTATATCAAGTCGGTCCTTGGATCGTGAGTCGGACGGGACGACCCTTGATCCGATTTGATGGGATCCAAATCTTGTGCTTGCATCATGCCTCTAACGGTCTTACCAATTTTTATTGTCACCTGACACATGTAAGAACAATGCATTAAATGTCAATCTCGTGGATTTGTAAGGGTATGAGCAATCAAATCAGACTAAAGCATATTCCTATCGTTGAATGGAGGGAAAATTTGAATAGTATTTTCCGCTCATAGGATTACTCATACTTGGTCCAGATCCCTCGATACCGGGACCAGACTGTCAGGGTTATCTCCATGGACGACTCCATTTTCTGGGTACCTGTGCGGGTCACAATTCCTTATATCCCGACCCTTCTTGAATACCGAGCATATGCCTAGGACATAGGGAATGTGACCTTTACTCCTTCTTACCACTCAGTTTATGACCTCCTTGTCTCTGATATTGGCTTGTGTTGTCAGATAAGAGGAATCCGAGAACAGATGACCTATTGTGCCAAATCTCCCAAATCTAAATGGGTTCGAGACCTGGTGTTATATGCTTATGTCATATTGGGTCATAGGCTCAATATGAATCCTAATTTAGCCCAAGGGGTCGTAACTACAAAAAAACCATAGATTTCATATACAAGCACGTGGTTCGTCCACGTAGGAAAGATTAAATTTATCACCAACAATATTTAATAAGTTTTATCTTGAAAAGTTTTTAAACAGAAAGTGACGACAAGCATAAGAGAAGTTCACCAAAAAGTAAACCATTGGACTGAAAATCTCAATTTAATGAACACTCAAAAATAAATCGATGTGAATAGAAAGAGTAGAAGAACGAATACATAAAAGTAGAAAGCAGAAAAAAGAGAACAAACCTGATATATTTTAAACGTTAGAACTAGATTTTACATCCATGCTATTTAAGTATTTTTGATAAAATTTATAAGCGTTTAATTATGTTTATTGAGATATTATATATATTGTGAATATTAGTAATTTTAATAATATATAATAACTCATTGCAAATTTAGTTTAAGAAACTATATCTAGTTTGTGAGGTTTTAACAATTTTGTTTTTTAAAGCTATATATGTCCGTGTGAAAATATAATATTTAGTGGAACACTTATAAATTAATATAAACCAGTTAAAAATATAACAAATAATTAATGTATAAATTAACCATGTTTAGTACTTCAACTCTATACTCTATGTATGATTTGTCATTTCTTCCTCAGTATGTATTTGAATTGACATTTTTTCTTTGGATTGTTATTAGATTTCACTAGATTCCTATGTTTCTAAATAGTAACCATTTGTGGTAAGAAATCTAAAAATAATTACATCTGTGACATTAATTTCCACATGTAAGAAAACACAAACAAATCTTCAAGATTTTGTGAAGACACAAACATAGCTCAGATTTTCTGGTCAAACCGTCACCGAAACTACACTATAAAAAGAATTGAAGTGTAGCCCTTCCACCACCCTAAAAAAAAAAGAAAAAAACAAAAAAACTCTTACTTGAAGAATGAAAAGCATTTCCCTTAAACTTCTGCTATTGGTTTCTCTTCTAGTCGCCGTCTTCCGTAAGTATAACAGTCTCATTGACTAATAGAATTTTACATACATGCTACATACATATATCCTTACTAGTAATTGAATAATATTTATTAATAAAAAGCATTTTACAAATAAATTAAGCCTGAAGAAAACTAAGAACTATTCATTAAGAATCAAGTTTTGTTTTTTTTTTCTATAGTATTTTGTTTTAAAATCATTTTTTGTCTGTTTTTAAGGCCAAAATATTGCAGTACCAATTTATTGTACGACAAACGAAGACTGCAGAAGAGTATGCCACTGCGATGCAGCGTATTGTGACATAAGGCGTAATCAGTGTTACTTTGGGTTAAATGCTATAAATACAATTGATGACTGTCCTTCCAAACAACATTGTATTCCAGAAGATAAAAATTGTGGCAGAGGAAGAGGAGGATTTCCACCGCGGCGATTGAAATTGTAATTATAAAAATACATGTATATGTCTAGTAATAGTTATGTATTGAAATTTTTGATGTGTTATTAGTATATTGGTGAATATAAGTATATAAATATTATATCAACGGATTATGATCGCATAAGTTAAAAATGATCAAAAGAGATATTTGACAAATATATGATTTCCCACAGATTTATTTTTGTTTTGACAATCTTAAAAGTCATGTATAATTTCGAAAAAAATAATTATATATCCATAAAAATGATATATGCAGTTTTTATAAACACTAGATCAGATACCAATATTTCCGAGAGTAGCTGTTGCCTATTAAACATAGATTGAAGAAGACAATACATAACACACAATGAGATACAAATGATCTCAACTCTACAATAACCAACAAAATAATATATCTCAAATCTACTATTTGTTTCTACTTCTTTTTTTTCCTGTGTATCCGCATAACTTTTTATAGAAATTACAGTTAACTTAAGGGTATTCGATTTCGAGTCAAATTTTGATTATAGTTTTAATGATTTTAATATCTTGAACAATCAAATTTAAAGTTATATTTTGTTCAAATATTCACATGTAAACCAAAATCTGCACTAGGCAAAAAAGCGGACAAAATTCAATTTATGTTTGACTGCAAGTTTTATGGACCAAAAGTCTCATAATTAAAAGCAAATTGGGCAACCACAATTATATGATTGATAATTTGGTTTAACAATTACAATTAAAAGATTGTTATATGTAAGATGCATTAGTATATAAATAAGATAGATCTCTACGGCAATACAGTATAACTACATAGAACTAAGTTTCAATTACATCTATTTATGTGCTCCTCTGATTTCAAGTGTTTTATCTCTTTATGTAAAGTTATGTTTTCAGTTAATACTCTGTTTTAATCCTACGTTTGTTTTGTTTGTTTTGATGTACGTGAGCTGTATTAGTGTATAGATAAGATATATTTATGGTTATATATATCTAGAATATTAAGTGTCTCTCACTTCTATTAATTTCATATTTGGCCAACCATCAAATATATATATATATATATTTTGCTTAATAGTAAATAACTGTGGAAGATTTGTTGTTCTAAGGTCCTAAATTTAATTTACATAGTGTGTGGTTGGGTTAATTTTATTTGTTTCGACAATAATGCTTATTTCCTTTTTATCCATCTCATCAGTAAACAACTTGAGCTTATTATCGGTTAGAAATAATTGTTGACCGTTTTGAGTGTTTGAATTTTGAACTTTTAATTTTTAAACCATTTAAATTTAGTTGGGCAAAGAATAACAGTTATTATATTCTGGCGCAAAACCTTTCACATATAGACTTTTTTTTGCTTTTTATTTTGTTAGCGAAATACTATGAGATCTAATATGATTAGGAAGGAAATTGTTTAAATCCCTAAAAAAAAAATTTATGGAAGATAAAATACTTGATACATAAATTTTCCTATATGGTTGAGTTTCCTGTCTCCTTTGGATTAGTAGTATTGTGAACTCATGCACTCTTTTTCACTGCTATAAACCCTACACATATAGTTTTGATGTTACATATTTTTCATATGTGACACAAAAAAACACTTGTGAACGTATATACTTACACACATACAAATGTTTCTTTTTTTTGTTTTTGAATTGATTATACAATTTATTTTTATAAGAATTTTTTTACATCAAATTTTTGTTGTATTTGACAGTAGAAAATAGTTAGAAAATATAGCTAAAATTAAGAGCAAATAATTAGAAAGAAAATAAGAATTTGGTCAAAAGTTTCTTGTTTTGGTTGAGTCTCTTGTCATTCTTTGATTTTGGTATTGGTGCTGATAATAGTATTGCTTCTCATTATTGGTAATTTAGTAACACATGTGCTCAGCACATTATCGTTCTCTCTTAATCAATCACTATTCAATTTCTAACTTTTCTAAAAAGTATTTATGTGTTTTGTCTATTTTCGAAATAGGTTATTTTCTTTTATGGTTACATGAGTTTATAGTTTTCTTAGTATTGGGTATTATAATCTTCTACATCCTTTCAGCTTTCACCATTTGTATCAATTAATATTATAGCAAATCTCATTAAAAAATTATAAAAGAAATATTATCATACAGGCGTACGTGTTTTCTGATATGTTTTGTAGTAAAACACACACAATTTATAATTTTTTTGCTTAAAATTGGCTTTATATTCTCAAATCTCTTTAGATTTTGTTTCTGAATATATGATTTGGCTCATTTAATCATATCTTCTTGATTCTCCATTTTTCATATACATCCAATAAAGTAAAAAAGACTAGGTAATTGACTAAGCTTAGCCTAAAGTTTATAGTGTGAAGATTAATCTTCAGATTTTATTAATACACAATCTTTGACATGTTTCGTTCATAAACTTACTCTCTAGATCTGAAACTTATCTCTTCTTCAATTTCCACTTTCCAAGAGCCTGTATAAGAAGATGCCCTCACATCATTAAAAAACATAATAACCATTAAAAAAAATTAATTAGCTCTCTAGAAAAATGGATAACTCGAATATTTTTGTGATAGGAGACAATCAGGTGAATGAAGAGAAGCCTCCACCACGAGTGTGTCCAAGGTGTAATTCAGACAACACTAAGTTCTGCTATTACAACAACTATAGCGTATCTCAACCGCGCTACATCTGCAAGAACTGTCGCCGACACTGGACTCATGGTGGAACGTTAAAGGACATACCAATTGGTGGACGTAGTCGTAAAACCAAGCGTTCAAAGATAGATCAACTTTCTGTTTCTCAGGTAGTTTCTGTTGAGATCCAACAAATTAATCACAACCAACCTTTCTTAAATGTTAAAGAAACCAACAACTTTGTTGGAACTCTTGGTCCTTCTTCTTCTACTGTTGTTGCTGTTGGGAACCATTTTGATTCTTTGCCTGAAATTCATGGTGATATGGTGCTTCCAATTCGAAGTGTTCCACCAGTGAATCAAGATTATTATGATGTTGGATCTAATGCTTTGATTGGTAATCCTTGGATAAATCAATCAATTGATGGCAATTTTTACAGTTATCGTGTAAATCAAGAGGACCAATACAAACAGAACCAGAGCTTCAACAATAATATTATGAACATGAATCATAATGCTGGCATTAGTGGAAGTAGAGAATCATCGGACTCTGATCACATGAACAAGAACAACAACAAAATTGAAAACAACTGTGTGTCTAGGTCCTCTGACCATATGGAGAAGTTTGGTTTTTGAATCTTTTATATTTAATTTATCTGTTTTTTTATTTAAGTTTATGTTTCAATAATTTATCTTGTTGGGTTTTTTTTAAGTAAAAAAAATTATATTGTTGTCTCCCAAAAACTACTTCCTATTAATTATATTAGAAATTTATAAATATTTAGATATATCCGATTCATTATTTTGCAGTATGCTCTTGAGTTTTTGATTATGTGGTTATATATTATTTTCCCTGATTATAAGTGAGACCTTGAGCCACATCTCAAACTAAAATTTCAGATCTTAAAAACATGTAAAACAAATACAATCCATAGAAATCAGTAATAATCTTGTTACAACATATGCTAAGCTAGCATATCGATGCCACTTGATATATATATTTTTTAAAAAAAAAATTTGGGTACTCTTAGAACCAATGCACTTATGATCAAGATTTTTGATATTTTTATTTTTTATGACTGAATACATTGTTTTAGGGACACTGATTCAGAAAGATTTTTTTTTTTTAAAAAGCATCAAATATAAAGTTATAAACAGGTATCCATATTAAAACAAACCGAATAACTGAAAAAAAATAAACAAACCAAAAAAATTCATTTTGTTAAAATTTTTCTTTGTTTCATTGATCAAAAATCTCATAACTAAAAACAGATTAGCAAACCAAATAATATTTACTAACTAGTGAACTTGCCCATGTAAGACGTAGGCTGATATAATTTTTCATTTTATTGTCTGAAAATCTAATAGTAGTTTGAAGTCACTTTTTATTTTCTATTATTGAGTATATTTTTTTATTAGATTTCCTTACATTTTAATGTTTGAAGATATGATCGTGAAAATAATATAGAAGAATGTAGATAAAAACATATTAGTATTCAAATAATTTAGTTTAAATAGTTTAAAATCTTTTGATCACCATTCTATGTATTTAAGACCTAGTTTTTTTAAGTATCGTACGAACTCATTTGAAGAAGAAGGAAGAGTTAAAAAAAATTTAAAAAAGGTGTGAGAGAATTAGAAAGAAATCATGTACATATTTATACGAAAATATTTGAAGTCGAATACACTAATCTAGACATCACCAAATATCATCATTCCATTAGATATTCTATTTATTGATTTTTAAAATTTTTGTTAAATTTTTACTAAATTTTGGTTTTATAAAATATTAGAAACGGTTTGATTTGACAGCGAAATAAAGCATTAAACCACAATAATTTAAAACGGTTTTTTTTTAAGTTAAACGGTTTGTTTTAAGTTATTTTTAACACATCATCAGATAAGAACCAATAAAAAATGACACATAATCGATAAATGGGGTAAAAATATCTTTTTGCAGCCGAAACTCATTCTAGAGCTGACACGTAAGCAAAACACTGTGAAACTTGCTGTGAGCGGGACACGTAAGCAAATCACTACACAAATAAGTATATAGATTGACATTATCATCGATACCAACAAGCAGAGATATATTTCCAGTTAGCTCGGTCTACTCTAGTTTATATTTTCTCTTTTAGCATAATCCAAGCCTAAAATGATCAAAGCGGATCCAAGAATAGTTGATGACTTGATTGAAAATAGCTATGAGGTTTAATTTTATAACTACTCTATTCAAACAGAAGTATGTTTTGTATCCAAAGATATTTTTTTTAAAAAAATTTCTACTATTCTGTCTTTGGATAACTGTTATTTGTGTTGAAAAAAAATAATTTGATTATTTTTTATTATTTCGAAAATAGTAAAATAATATATTTAATTTTTTTCAAAAAAATCAAAATTTGAATTTGATTAGTTTAGATTGTTTTTTAAGATATATTGTAGGTAGAATTAATTATAAAAATTAGTTTTTATTGTCTTTCTAAAAATAATAAATAAGATATTAATTTATTTTCTAATTAAATATTCAACTTTAAATAATATTTTTATAATAGCAAAAATGATAAAAGATATATAATTATTAGTTTTTCATAATCAATCTTTTCAAAAAATTTAAATACTTAAAATTAAAAAATTTATATTATATGATAATATGATCGAATGAGATAAATTATGTTTTTATATTTATAGTTTTTTCAAATTAATCGAATGGAGGGGTTAAACGTATATTTTTATAATAATTTTAAAAAATAAATTTTATCTAAACACAAAATAAATTTGTATTATTTATTAAATCTGTAAAAAATACAAATTACATTATAAAATAAAATTAAAAAATAAAGATTTTTTTTTTGTGCAGACGCACAGAAGATAATCTAATATCTATTTAAAAAATATAGTATTTGGTGAAACACTTATAAATTAATATACCAAGACATCTAAAAATATAACAAATAATTAATGAATGAATTAACCAATTTATTAGTACCTCAACTCTATAATACATCCCATGTTCGAAAAGGCAGCCGCCTAGCCGCCTAGGCGGACCTAGTCGTCCGCCTAGGCGCTGGAAGGAGGGTCACCACCGCGATTTTGGCCTGGTCGGTGGTGGTAGGCGGAAAACCGATTTTCCACCGTCTAGAAGCGATTAATAAAAAAGGCGGCCCAAATCAGAAAAAAAATCAGCCCAAATTTTGAGAAACTCGGTAAAAAAATTGTGGGTTTATTGATGGGCTTGTCTCGGGCCCATATATGTTTTTTCTTTTCTTTGTAAAACGACATTACATTTGGTCTAATGATTAAACCCGATTGATCTTAAACAAACCGTAAACTAAATTTCCCCAAATTCTAATCCTAATCGCGATGAAAATCAAGCAACTCACGATGAAATCAGGAGGAAATCAAGCTTAATCAACATCAATATCCGAGAACATCAAGAAATCTTGACCAAATCAAGCCCTTTCATCATCTACAAAGTCTTCTATTTCGTTTTTGAGGTAACAATCTCTGAATCTCTCAATCTCTCTAACAAAGAACAAGTTCTTTGGTTTGGTGTTGTGTATTGGTTCTGATTCTGTTCTTTGATTCATCTTCATATAACTTAGAACCCACATTCATTTAACCTAAACCCATCTTCATCTAACTTATAACCCACCATTCATCTAACTTATAGGCCACCATTCATCTTCATTACTTTCCGGCTGATCCACTACCTGAAATGGCTGATCCACCACCAGAAAATTCACATTTCTTAAGCGTTACTCAGCTGATGTTGGATGGGAGTATGGTGCCTTGTATGATCCCTTGAATCCAGACAAAGTGAAGTGTAAACTTTGTGGAAAAGAGATATCGGGTGGAATTCATCGATTGAAGCAACACATTGCACATAAGAAAGGTGTCGTGGCTTCAAGTCAGGAGGATAAGGATAAGTGTATGAAGGCATTGAATGAAGCAAAGGAGAAGAAAAGTCTGAAAAGAAGACATGAAGATGATTTGCGATCTGAGGTGAATGTTGAGAAGCAAGCCACTGATGAACTAGGAGAAGAGCTTGGAACAATGAGATCACCTCATTTCCAAGGTCCGATTGATAAATTTGCAAGCTGCATTGATCCAGAAGCTTCGTTAGCTACTCGGAAAAGGCAACAGAGCATCCATGATGCTATTTCTAAAGAGAAGACACATGTTGTATGCCAACAACGAACCTTTTTAGGTTGTTTTGTGAAGCATTGGGACAGTTCGGGCCTGGTTGGGTACCACCAAGTCAATACCAGCTGCGTGAAGCATTGTTAAATGAAGAAGTTCTGAGGACACAGCAAAAAGTGAAGATTTTAGAAGAAGAATGGGAAAGAGAAGGTTGCTTTGTGATGACTGATGCATGGACTGACATGAAAAGAAGAAGCATCATGAATTTGTGTGTCAATTCAAGAGGTGATACTTGCTTTCTTTCTTGAAAGGACACCTCAAAAGATTCACATACTGGTTTGTACATCTTCAACTACATTGACCAGTGCCTAGAAGACGTAGGAGCTGAAAAAATAATGCATGTGGTTACTGATAATGCAACCAACAATGTATCAGCGGCTAGGATGTTGAGAGAGAAGAGACCAACTATCTTTTAGAGTGGATGTGCAGCTCACACCCCAGACTTGATGCTTGAGGGAGTTTCGATGTTGCCTAATTTTGCCAAGGTTATTAGTCAAGCAAAAGCAGCCACTGTCTTCATATATGCTCATGATAAAACTTTGTCAATGATGAGAGCATATACAAAGAAGAGAGATATCATCAGACCTGGTGCAACAAGGTTTGCAACTTGTTTCTTGACTCTCCACAGCATGTATGATAAGAAGGCTCAGCTTAAGGCAATGTTTACAAGTGATGAGTGGTATGAATGTACACATTCAAAAACTTTGAAGGGAAAGAACACATTTGATACTGTTATGAGTTTCGGTTTTTGGAATTCTGTGATGATGGTTTTGAAGATCTTCAGCCCTTTGGTGAAGGTTCCAAGGCTGGCCGATGGAGAGAAGATACCTTCAATGGAGAGAAGATACCTTCAATGGGGTTTATTTTTGGTGAGATTTTAGAAACCAAGAAATCTATAATGGAAGCTTGTGATCATTTGGAAAAGAATTACCAGCCTGTTTCAAATTATTGATGAAAAGATGAAAGGTAGGTTGGATTCTCCATTACAAGTGGCTGTTTCCTAAACCCGTTTTACTTCTACAAAGACAACAATATACAGTGTGAAATGGCCATCGTAGAAGGATTCATCAGCTGTGTAGAGACTTTTTATCATGGTAACTTTGATTCTCAAGATAAGGTTATGAATCATGAGGTTAATCTCTACAAGAACAAACTCGGATTGTTTGGAAAAAACTTAGCATTAAGAGGCTGTAAAACAAGAGATGAGAAGTTTGATCCAGGTTAGTCTCCTCACTATAATTCTCTTAGTTACTCATCCTCACTACTTATTTGATCATCATCACTTGAATTGACACAGGGAATTTGCGGTCAACATATGGATCTGGTGCACCAACTTTGCAAAAGTTAGCAACAAGAATACTTGCTTTGAACTCTAGTTCTTCGGATTGTGAAAGAAATTGGAGTTGTTTTGAATCAGTTAGTGTATTCTGGCTTTATATTTTGTATTGTTTTCTCACAAGTTCATATGTTAATCGTTGAACTCTGGTTTCTCTCTGGTTTTGCAGATCCACACTAAGAAGAGGAATAGACTAAATGTGAATAGCTTAAACAATCTAGTCTATGTCCAATTTAATGCTAAGTTGTTCAACAAACAGAAAAGGATAAGAGAGCAAAATGTTGATGCTATCTTCGAAGATGGTAATGAAGATACAGTTGAAGAATGGATCGCAGGACCACGTTTGGAAGACCAAGACAGTGAAATCAATCTGATGCTAGCCACACAAGCACCACGGACAAGAGACATCTATGATGATGATTTTGATTCTGAACCGGAAGATGCTATTGACATGGAGTTCGAACCTGATAAATACCAAGAAGTTCCTCGTTTCGGGACTCACAAACTTCTTAATTAGGTTAGTTTCTTGTTTGTCATTTCTTATTATTTGAAGTCAATGTTCTGATATTTTTTATGGATCTATGTATTTGTCTTTCTATGATGTCTTCGATGTCTTGCTTTGTTAACATCATCTTAGGATTAGAGAAGAGGTTTGTATAGTATGTGATCAATTAGTCATGGTTTTTATAGGATTAAAAAAATTGTGTTCTCAATTCATTATGTGTTATCTCTTGTATTGTCATCTGTTTTGACCTTATAATTTTTCTTTTGTTGCAGGTTTCATTAGTAAATGACAAGCTCAAACACATCTAGAAGTACAACACACATGATAACTTGATGATTGAAGAGAGAAAGGATGAAGATTATGGTTTCCTTGTATTTTTTTGGTCTCTCAATATCAAGACTATCTTTTTTTTTTTGGCATCATGTGTTTGTACTTCTCTTTTGTTTTTTGGATTTTGATGTGTTTTGAACTTGATTTCGTATTGTTATGTTACTTTGACAATCAAATATGCATATTTCATATTACTTTTGACAATCAAATATGCATATTTCGACCATGGTTCATAACTTATTTAAAAAAATAAAAATCTTCAAAACTAATCGACTAGACTCTAGTCGAAACCCAAGCGCCCGCGTAGCGACCAGCGCCATTTCAACCATGGAATACATCTATGTATGATTTGTCATTTCTTCCTCAGTATGTGTTTCAATGTTCATTTTTTCTTTGAATAGTTACAAAAATGTTGTAATTTTAAGCAATTTTCCAAATAGCGTTTAATAAGTTTTATCTTGAAAAGTTTTTAAACAAAAAGTGATCGACAATCATAAGAGAAGTACACCAAAAAAGTAAACCGTTGGACTGAAAAATCTGGCCAAAGTTGCACAAACTATTCTTCCAACTTTGCCTTCTTCCGAGCCATTAACCGTTCTTTAGCAGCAGCAATCCGGTGCTCGTAAGTGACTTTAGGCGCTTCTTTTGCTGCCTCTTTGATTGATGAATCTCTCTCTTCTGTGGGATCTGAACCAATCTTCTTCTCAGTTGCTTCTTCCTCTGCTTCTTCTTGCGGTTCCACACTTTTCCGTTTCCTACTATTTGATCCATTAATATCTCCTGATTCATCAGGCGACACTTTCTTCTCTGGTAAATCAGTTTTCTTCTCTTCCCTCGTCTCTTCTTTTCTCAGCTCCTCCAGCTTCTCTGCCTTTCTTTGTTCCTCGAGCCTCTCTGCCTCTTTAGCTTCGATATCTCGTGCTCCAAATGCCACGTTTTTTCCAATGTTGAAGTAGAAATCACTCAAGTCTTTCTTCTTTGTAACCTAGTAGAAGATGAAAAACAAATGAAAGGGCTGAGAAATGAGTCTAAATAGAAAAATAAACATTTTAAAATCCACGAAAGCTATATCTCCTAATCATTTGCTAGTACAGAGAGAGTTCTAGACATGCCCATCATGTACTAAAATCCAAAACATGCAACAAGGTTTTAAGAAGAAAAGATTGCGATCAAGCAAACAAAGTTCCCAAACCTGAGCTACTTACGAGTTAAGACAGATACGAAAGCGGACAAAACAAGAACTTCGGCTATCCTAGCAAGCACTAGTTTAGTAATGACATATAGTGAACAAAGAAAGTGTAGATTAGACAAGAAACAGAACTTACATCATCTTTCTCCTCTCGAAGTTCACGCAATCTTTCTTCCGCCAGCCATTTCTCTTGTTCCTCGAGTTTCCTTTTATAAGCACCAGTTACAAACTTTTCTTTATCTGAGAAAAGATGTTCGTCTTTCTCCCTCTCTTTCGCAAGCTTTCTCTCGTAAATTATGTCGTGTTCTTTCTGTCTCTGCTCTGCCTTTTTCATCAAGTGCTGGATATATCTTGGCTGCAATCAACAAAAAAAATAAAGAAGCAAACAACGCATAAGCATAGGCCAGCCAATTCGTGAAGCTAAAAACACCTAAAATAAGTACAACAACTATATGTAACACCGTCAAGAAGCTATTCATTCCTCTTCAGAGCATGGAAACAAGATTTTGATTCCATAAGCTACGAAAGTATAGACAAGCTTCAAGTCTTTAGTACAACATATAAACATGAGTGACTAAGCTTTTGATGGTACATTCTCCATTGTTGTACTCAATGAGTCCTATATCTTCCTCTTACAGAACATATAAGGAAAATTTTGATAAAATCCTAAGCTTTCTCTAATGATTTTCATAGCAAAATAACTCAAAGAGAGATTACATTACCTTGCGCTCTTGGCGATCTTGCGCTCGTGGAAGAACAGCCTTTTGTTTCATGTCATCATAAAGTTCATCGTATGCAAAAGCAGAAGGGTCTTCTTCCAAAGCTTTCTTGTGCTGCTCCTCAATCTATAAACAATAGAATCAACACCAATGAATCAATTTATCAAGGTGATGATAATTGAACAAAAAAACTAAGAAATAAACAGAGCGAAAAAACGTACTTCTTTTAGAGCTTTCTTCTTTGAAGCTTGCCGAGAAATCTCCTTCTCAACATCATCGTCATCATCTTCATTAAATATTGGAGCAGGTCGAGGTGGTGGTTGCTTTTTCTGGGAAGGAGCTCTGATTTGCAGACCGTACTTCTTCATCTTCTATGTTCCTTCGAAGAACAATCAAATTTCTGCGGAATTCGAATTCAGAATTCAGAAATCAGAAGATTAGAGCTTAGACCAAACCCTAGTAAAATCCAAGGCGAAATTGGTGGATCCAAATGAAGCTGGAAACGATTTTGGTATCGGATTCAGATAATTTGTCGGTGTGATTGTAGATGATGATAGAGAGCTCGGTGTGATTTTCTGATTTATCCCAAACTGGTCGAGGAACGAAGAAGATGAGACAAAGTTCGTAGCGAAGAAGAAGAACAAAGTCAATCGAGAAATTAGTGGGCCTAAAATCATGGCCCAATTTCCTTTTTGATTGAATTTCCATTTTTTATTGGCGGACATATTAAAGTTCACCACCATAAACATTTTGTCAAAATTTTAGAATTGTTTTTAAAGTAAATGTGGTAGATTCAAAATTTGCTATATAGGAAAAACTACTATTTGAACACAGTATAATTTTATTTAATACATGTTTATTTATATCCTCTTTACTCATATCTATTATATTTCTTTCTCTTTTTTCTTTATTCTTCTCCTTATACTTTCCTTCGTATCTATAAAAAAATTATATCTCTGTTCAGTGTTAACACCTTTGCGAACAAATTTGTTAAACGGTGTGTTTCATTCGGACAACCGAACCGACGTTTTACGATTTCATACACATATGTCTAAAATCAGAAATCAGGCGTCACTCCTTTTTCTAATTTGGTTTTGCGACTCTGCATGTGTTATTTCTTCACCGCATCTTTCTTCGATCTTCATCCCAACAGTATATTATCTGGGTTCTGTACCTGTAAGTTGTTCTTCCATCTAATTGTTGACTTACATATCCAATTGAAATTTTATAAGTTTTTAGTACTGTGTATCTTGCAAATGTCTAATTTGAGTCTTTCCGAGAGAGTATTTGCTGCCGGCCAAGAGCCGATTGGAGAAAGAATCAATTTCTATCAGGAATTAAAAATCACACAGGCCATATTAAATGTTCTCGAAGAACCTAAAGTCATCCGTCTTCGAGCGTCTCAATTGGGGAAACTTTTAACAGTGATGGAGATGTCGTTGTTCTCCGGTAGTTTTGGTTACTAAATACTAGCAAGGCTTCTTCGAGTTAAAAAGAAGCATGATTTATGGTTCTTGTTTGTCGGGTCTCCTGTCCAAGTTTCTCTGCGAGAATTTGCTCTGGTAACCGGACTTGAATGTGGAAAAGTAAAACAGAAGAAAAAGTAAAAAAATCTGAATTACTGAATTACTCTTATAATTATATCTAATATTATTTTTATCGTGTATAACTAAAACATAATGTGTATCTATCTGAATTACTCTTATAATTTTATTGTTAGAATGCTAACAATACATCTAGAGTGTTATATGTATTTGTAGCGTACTAACTACAAAAATAACACCTATAACAATCTAGATAATTCATTATTATTATCAATCTTACTTATTTTTTACCTAGTTAATTATAATATTAGATGTTAGTTTATATGTAACGTGCTAAGTATATCAATAACATCTTTAATCATCTATACAACTCATTATTGTTATTAATCTAACATATTTTTTATCTAATAAATTATAATGTTAGACGTTAATTTATATGTAACATGCTGAGTATATCAATAATATCTTTAATTATCTATATAATTTATTATTGTTATCAATCTAACATTATCTTTATCGTGTAAAATATAATGTTATATCTTAAGTTATATTTTATATATGATATAATAACTGTTAATCTATAGTAAAATATGTAACTTGTTATTATAATGTATATGACAACTTGTTATCATAATGTATATGACACGTCTTACAGAAATAATTTGTGTAGTTGTAATTTCTTGCACAAAGATATTACATACTCTACGTATATCTTTAGTCACCCTACCCAAAATCATGATATATATTTTGTCAGAATGCATCGACCAACGTGACAAACCTTTTTAGGGGTATAATAGTATTTACTTATGACCACGCACATAATACTGTTTGTTTTCGATGGGCTCTTTGTCATTTCCGCAAATTCGTCTCCATTTTGGATTTTTCAGCTAATTCACTCTTGTTTTTATTGGAAAAATTAAAAGAAAAAGTGAAAATTGACTTTTTTTTTTTAATTTCTACATTTTAAAGAAAAAATTGTTAACATTTTTTTAACGACTTAAAAATTTATTAGAAAAACCAAACAATCAACAATCAAAAGATATAACAAAATTAAATCAAACAAACATCAAACTCCCAAAAGCACGGATAATATATGCTAATATATGTATCTCTGTTGGGGTGATCAATGAGCCATACCTAACTTTAAAATCTAGGTGTGGTTGCAGAAAACTAATCATTTTATTGAGAGAAGATGATCTATTTCTCTATGAGAACTATAATATATGTTTATATCTCTTTCAAATTATTAGCACGTTTTATATCTCCACCAAATGAAAGCTAAAGAACTATTTCTCCCTAGAAAAATTTTTGGAACATGTATTCCCACGAAATAATAGTTCGATATCTCAAAACCCATAGACTTTGGTTTTACTCGGTCTCCTTTTCTTAAATAATTGTTAACCATTTAAAACTATGATTAATCGGATTTAACCAATTAAGACTCTATTATACCAAAATCAGACCCAAAGTAATTAGGTTTTTAAACAATTTTATTGTTTTCTTCGTGCTCTTCGTGCCTTTTGCTTCGATTCCGTGGATGAGTCAAGCCTCTCTTTTTACTCTGACGTCATACCCAAACCTTTTTTCTCTCTCACCACCAAACGGAACAGAGTAGACTCATACAAGTTCACAGTTGTCTCCATGAATGCTACCACTGAATCCGCAAACAGTGTCACTGCGTCTACCTCAGAGACCAAGACCACCTCCTATGGCCGACAGTTTTTCTCACTAGCCGCAGTGAGAAATTGTTCATGATACTAAGATGTTGTTGTTTGCTTTAATTAGATTCAGGCGTTGTCAGAATTGTACTCAATTTGAATTCATTTTGTTTATCAAGTATAACTCTGAGTTGAGATATAGAATGTGGTAATAGTTTGAGAGAGATCTAAACATATGTGATAAAATTGGTGGGAAAATAGATCATTTTCATTTTTAATAATATTATATTTATTATATCTATAAGTATAAATTATTATAATATTTTAGAAAAAAATCTATTACTATAGGAGCTCCTTAGATTATCTTTATTGCAGTTTCTTGGGCGTTTTTTACCCATATTTTATATTAAATATAATTGAATCCAGTCCAAATTGTTTAGAAACGTTTCTTATTTCAGAATAATAAGAGACGTCTCTTGTGGCCACGTGTAACTATGTGAATGGGCAAAAACATTTACATTATTATTACATATTTTTTTAAAAAATCCATTGGACATGCCAAAGTTAAAGATTTTTTTATCAAAGTCTCTTAACCCAAAATAATAATAAACAATTGCTTAAGAGATCCATTTGGGTCTCTGGAATAATCATGCTCTTAGACTATCGACATCAGAATTTTTTAAAACTTCAGAAGAACATGACACGTCATCACTATAATTCACGTTAAACATCTCCAAATAAATTAAGAAAAATGACTTTTTAAAAAAAAATATATCATCATTTTTGGTTAAATTTTGAAATTTTTTATTTTTATTTTAAATATTTTTATGAAGCAGATTGGATATCCAGCAAATATTTAGAAAAAATGATGGAGCGGATATCCGGATAATCACGAAACGGATACAGATCGGAAAAATGATGATCCGGACGGAACAGAGTGGATCACAGATATCCCCAGAATTTTTGTTCATCACCATTTATTAGTTAGCTACTCATACTATTTGAAATTTATATAGCTTATTGTTTCTCAAGTTATAGTTACATTTTAATATTTACCATTTTTATTTTATATTATCTTTAAATTGTAGAATTGGAATTCATCTTTCTATTTTCCCATACATGGTCTTTTCAGTTGGTTCATTCATTTTGTCAGATCGTTCTGTCTTAGCAACTGCGGGATAAGAGGATCCACTAAAAAAAGAGGTCAAGTAAAAAAATATGTATGTATATTTACTTATTTTTAACTGAATAAGAGGATCCACTGAATAATATGTCATCCTTTTTGCTATATATATGTGTAGTTGTTAGCTTCGCACTGATTGTTATATCTCTCTACCAATGGATCATGAGGCAATAATATACTTTACTCTATACCACGAATCTTTAAAATATCAAACCACAATTATATTTTACAGTGCATCATGATCAGAAAATTTCAAAGATATTCGAGTTCAATTATATGTCTCTTTGCATTTAGTTAAAGTTTTGTGGCAGTACTAATCGCGTTTCTTTCTATACAACCATCATTTTTCGTGGTTGCAACAGAACTTTCTTTTTTTTTTTTGTCAACCAAATACTTCATTCATCAAACTGAAATTGCGAGAATCGCATACAAAGTGTTTTTTGCTAAGAAAACAGCTATTACAATAGATAAACTTAGGATAAACTTGAGAGTAGTGAACTCAAATCTTCTGGTGAGGAGTGTAAAGTCCTTGAGAAAACCATGAAGTTTGGAAACACATGAGCCTGAGTTGATGACTCTAGCCAATTGTAAGGATTCAGTTTCAACCGATATTGTCCTTAATACTTCAGAGGCGGCTTGAGAATGAGCCGTAAGGGTTGCCATCCTTTCTGCCACTAAAAGGGAGGCGAAATCTGAAACTTGAGAGAAGCTACAAGGAGCTTTTTGTCTCTCGTCTTCTCTCCAAAACGCAAAGATTTGGCATGTTAAATCTGTAAGAGTTTCATGAAAGAGTGTGGACACCACCACAAGCGGAGAAGCTTTGGGTTTACTCCAATAACCTTTGATTTGGCAATTATTATTTGTGAGAGTTACAGGAAAAAGTATAAACACCATAGACAAAAATGTCTTGGATTTACTCATAATACTTTCTTGCCTGTCAAACAAATCGAAATAGATGCCACAAGAGGGCACAAGGGTGAAAACAATGGAAACCGTCGTAACAGACAAAACTACAACCAGAGTCCACAAAAACAGCACCATCCACTCAACAAGCACCCAATATCTTTCAGACAAGGAAGAATCGGAGAGTGAGTAGAGGCAAACCTGCGGAATCGGGAAAGGGGATGTGGAAACCACAGGAGAGAAGCACAATGCTCTGACGGTGGTACTGACGGTGGTGGGACAGTGGCGAATTCATGACTCTAAAAGACCCGG